CTACTAGTAATGGTTGCCAGGGAGAAAAAGAGAGGACCTGTGAAAAATCTGATGAGTCTGCCCCGAGTTTTAATCCACCATCACTAAATGGTGCATCTTTTACTTTGATTGGATTCAGTAAAGGTTGTGTTGTTTTGAATCAGTTGCTTTTTGAATTGAAAGAAGCCAAGAAAGACAAGAACATAGATGGTTTCATCAAAAGCATAAGAACGATGTATTGGTTGGATGGTGGTCATTCTGGAGGAAGCAATACATGGGTTACATATCCAGAAGTCTTGAAAGAATTTGCACAAACAGGGATTATTGTTCATACCCACGTAACACCTTACCAAGTACGTGATCCAATGAGATCTTGGATTGGAAAGGAGCACAAGAAATTTGTTCAGATACTTGAGGATTTTGGTATGCAGGTGACTAGTCAAATTCATTTTGCAAAGGAAGCTCCTTCTATAGAGAATCACTTCAGGGTTCATGAGGTATTTTGAGACTACAAGAATATTAATGTACTTGTTTAGAGGAAAAGCATATGCACTTTGAGTGCTGTAAATTCAGATAATGACATGTAAGATGCAATTCATAAATGCATTGTCAGTCTGGGGATTAGGGAGAAGCACACATTCCTAAAATATGGGTACAATATGCAATAGTATTCCTTGCTTGTGATTGTGAACAGTTTTTAATTTGGATTGGGTTAGAATTAGTTAATTTGAAATCTAAAAAGGTGGTTTGTGATAATCCTATGAGAAAATATAGGACCCTTAAAAATGAAGGTTAATGACAACTAAAATTGCTGTTGTTGGAAATAGTTGATTCTTTGAGTAATGTTTCAAACTAAATTTGGTGACATTATAACAGCAGTTAGCTATTTTGGCACTGAAAACTTGAATGGAAGCACTTCATTTCTCTTCAGACAAAGCAAAAACACCCTGATGTTTTCCATCATTTTGGAGTAACAATCCTGCCTCTTACGTTTTATAAACTTATGGATTCGTTCTTAATGTGCCACAAGTGTTTTATTTTCTTGAGAGTCAAATGTATTTCCAGTTCTCCAAGAATGTGCAATAGCATAAAGCTGATTTTTGAAGCTTTACACTTATGCACTGTGGCTTAATTTTTAATTGACAGTTTTTAATTGACTGTTTTGGGGTTTCTTAAATATTGGCCAAAATACAGTTGTTTTTGAAAATTGGTTTAAATTGAATATAATTATATATATATATATATATATATATATATATATATATTTGATAAAAATATACTATAGAGTAGATTTCAAATTTTCATTATATTAGTATTTTGAAAGAGATCAACTTAGGTAAAATAAATATATAATACTTTATCAGCTGCTCTATTGAAAAGGAAACAGATTCCATAGATCTAAATCAGTGTTTCTCCAGAAACATGATTTTGTCTGCCAAAAGAAAATAGCTCTCTTTGGCCAAAATGCAAAATTACATTGCTGTAAGAAAAGTTACAAGGGAAAGTTTGAAGACACAAATGATTTAATTTTGGCTCAAAAACTGAATTTGCTTAACACTACTACATAATTTGGGTGAAGTTTCCTTCTGCCCGTTTTTCTTGACCTAGATAAATACATTTTGAGAAACCAAGATCTAATGAATTTTAACCAACATTGGAATATGGCTGTGTGATTACAAAAGGTGACCTGTCACTTTTTTATAGTTTATTAATAATGCTTTTGCAGGTCATGAAATAACTAAGCAGGGAAGTAATATGCTGCTTTAGGACTGATAAAAGTAAAATGCTAAAGATGACTATCTTAATGACCCAGAGGACCTAAATTTATTAAACAATAAGGCAAAAATGTTTATTTATTGATTTCTTCCCAGAATTACATCTTAATGACTCTGAAATACATTCCAAATAGAGACTCATGAGAAAGGATTCTTAACCAGATTCTTTAAAACAAACAATTCTATTAACTGTACAAGAGTAGTATCTAAATTTTTAAAATACCTTCTTTCCAGACCAAAAATTTCCATCACAGAAACAAGTTGAACAGATTCTAATATTTTATGTATTACCTGCCTTAAAACACYATGATTGGGTGGCTTTTTTCAATTTAATAATTCTTTTGTTAAATTCACTTATATCTAATAAAATAGCTGAGTTACTGAAATGAGCTAAGAAGGGACAAAGAAAAGGCTTTTCTTTTCACAGGCTTAACTAAACTGGAAAAATAGGACTTTTAATAGACAAATTCATTTTAAAAATATGAAATATTTGAATCTGAATTCAGCTATCCAGTCACATGAATGCTTAATTATAATTGTTATATATCAAATGGAGGAGATATTAAGAATGACCCACTGGGTACCTAAAACTGCTATCACATCAAAGTGAGACAATATTGAAAAGTAAAAATATTTTCAGAAGTGAAATATATTCTAGTTGATTCATATACAAACATTTTGTTTGACACTTTAGATTGGTCCTTTCTCCACATTTAAAACTGTTATTGTAAATGTTAGTATATCCTCTTGGATCGTGCCTTTGTGATGAAAGAGTAAATTGAGAAAAGTAGTCCTACAAATAATGTGAAAGTTGTTACCACCACAGCATGAATGTATAATTGTATTAAAATTAATAATCTACAGAAGTGTGTTTTGATGTGCTTTATGTTGTCAACATTGTTAAAACTTCATATCATTTGATTGAATGGAAGCTTTATCTCTATCTTGCCAGTTTTGGTTTCTATATATGCTTTCATTAACCTCCATGATTTTTCGAGTGAGCAACTCTGAAAATCTTTTCTGTAAAAAACATAACCATTCTCCTTTTTAAATTACTCCATAAAAATTTGCATTCTATCCATTTTTTTTCTGTTGCATTTTTTAGAGCACTAAGTCTCTTTTAAGTTCTTCCTTTTCTTTGCTCATCATTTCAGGTATCTGTATTCTAGTTCCTTCAGAGAGTTTCTTAGAATTTATGTAGTATGATCCAGTTCTCATTTCATTCATGCACCGATGTCTGGGCATCCACCAAGAGCAAACAGAGTCTAGGCCATAAGGATATAGCACAAAGTCCCAGTGTGTTACTATGGAAATACGTGATAGATGAAAGCTAGAATGGATATAAAGAGAGAAATACAGAACAAAAGGTAGTCATAAGCTAGTCTTATTTTCATTTGAGGGTCTTTAAGAAAAACATGCCTTAGAGGATGAGATATAAATAGCTTAATTTCTAAGTCTAGTTGCTCTATACAAGGGCAGAGAGGCCCAGCATAATAGGCAGTTCCTTATAGTTTCCTCTTATGGATATATTTAAGATGCCCCAGCACTCATGGCATGTATGCTTGAAACTAGACACGCAACAGCAGAGATGTATGCCTGACTGCTTATCTGTGTTAGTTCCTTCTGACCATATCTATTAGCACCAGAGGAAGGATGCATGCAGCACAGTTCCAATTCTATCCAGATCTGCCTTCTGACTTCCAATACCTTTTTCTTTGTTGTTACTAAACTCTGATTCATTCATCTTGGATATCAAAACTTTTTATAGGTGAGAGAAAAGCCTTGTTACTAGGTTCTTGAGAACTTAGGTTCACGTAGCTATTCGAGTAGGATGAAGATAGAAATTAAGCGTTGTTGGCTTTGTTTTGATACCTCATGAAAGATGTTTGAAATTAATTACTGAGTAAGTAGAATTCAAATGTACTCATGTTCCAAGGGAAAAATCGTTAATGTTCTAGAAAATTTAATAATTACACTTCATACATAATGCTTTAAAAATRTATTTTGAAAGGATGATATGAACAAAAATTCAAGTAATACAAAACTGCCAGTCTTGCCACTGGCTCTTCAGCCTCTTCTCAGAGGCAACCACTATCACTAGTTTCTTGTAAAGTCTTGCAGAGCTAATTCATGCCTATATAAATATTTACACACAGCACCTTATTTTACACAAATGGCAGCATATTTTGACACCTTTTGTATGAAGTTACATTGGGAAAATTTGACACCAGTACCTTTGCTTTATTCTTCAGCTGCACTGTTCCATTTTTTGTATTATATTCTGCTGTCTGCCTGCTTATTTTATTTTGAATCCTTGTAAATATGAAGGTTTGTTGTGAAGAAAATTCCTTTGTACATCAGGTCCAGCTCCCAAACTAGCCAAAGAAAAGCTATCCAGTCCATTCAGAAGTATTTGAGATATGCTACACATTAAGGAGAGAGACTATGGTCACTACCACTGAAATTAATCCCATCTTCTATCACAGCTGTGTGGATTTGGACAAGCATTTATACAATCTGGGTTGATTAGAATCCCTGTGAGGTCATCCTTAACATATACTGAGAAATATTTCATTCATTTGGCCTTATCCCCAAAGGCAAAAAAGATTAAAATATCTCAATTTTAAATGAACAGACCCTAACAAAAATACAACCTTAGAGATAATTTTAAAACTTCCCAGAGGGTTTATCTCTAGCCTTCCAAATGTAATACTACAAAAGGAGCTACCTCACACCTCTTAGCAAGAAAATTAAATAGCTAGCACTAGCCATCAACTGTTTCTCCTCTTAACTATCTCCTCTATTTTTTTGTTGAAACTTATGAAGCATTAGTTCTATTTTAAAGATGAGGAAAATAATCTTAAGAGGTTATTTAACTTCACCCAGTTTTCTTCCCCACTAACCAAAATAAAATAAAATGAATATTCAGTAAGCCAATTGTAACTGGTTTACTGCCACATTTATACTTTGCACTGATTCTCATATTGGTTAAGAAAAGGGAAATTWAAAAAAAAGGAGGAAAGTTTATTAAAAGCGGACTATAAATACTGTACAAAACTAAGAGAGTTTTGTCTTTCTTCTTCCTGAAACAACAGGAATCACTGAAGAAGTTCCTTGCTTAGTTTTAGAAATAAAGATCAAAATCTGGTAATTAGATTTGGCTAGTATATTAAAACAGTTCCTTTCTGAGAGACTTTTTATCACCTTTGTTGATCTTAGTTAATTCAGTAAGTTTTTCAAAAGATGCCTAGGAAAAATCAGAACTTTTCCTTTCTTGTTTATTGTGATTTGCATTTTATGCCTGAAACTACTCCAGCATAAAACATGAGTGAATGGATTATCTTCAATACAGAAAATTAATTAAAATGCACCAAAAATGATGTACTCACAGAGATTGCTTTAGATGGGCACATTTGTGTTCAATAAATATACTTGGTCTTGTTTCAGTGACATTGCAACATAATGGCTAGGTACAAAACAAAGAATAGCATAGAAGACACACAATGGCCCATTGTCTTCAAAGACAACATTAGGATCTTTCATTTAAAAACAAACAAACATTTATTTAGAAAAAGACTAGGTAAAAATGTATTTAGTAGGAGAAACTTTAATTAGGTTGATATTTAGCCATACATATAAACTAAAACTGATGTATTTTCTATATAAAAAAATTTTAAAAGAAGGCTGATTTGACATATCAGGATCAAAACCAGGATCAATTAAACATTTGTTTTGGATAAATCACAAAACTAATAATACAAATCACTATAGTCCAGTGATTCTCAGTCCTGATTATACATCAAAACAGCTTATAAGGTCTATTAGATACCTATACCAAATCCCAAATGTACTGAATATAACATATAACATAGTTGGAGCCTAGGCATATATGTGTTCAAAAAAAATGCCTCAAAAGATTCTGATTACATGCAAATGTAGTAGAAAACTTAGTTGGTTGTCCACCGTTTTTCCTTTCTTATCAGAACCCTGGTTTTAAAAATTATCCATTTTGCCCCATCCATACCTCATAGGCCTCAAAAAGGATTCTATTCCCAGCTCTAGGAGACCTGACTAGCCTAAGGGTTATTTTATATCCTTTGCCTAAAGACTAGCTCAGGGATAGGCAGATCTAAGCTACTTTATACAGCAATAAGACCCAAGGATTTGGTAGCAAATTCTGGGAAATTTGCTACCAAATTTCCATATTAACACAGGATCACTGGAATTCAGCCAGATTCTTCTGCTGCATTTAAATGAAGATACACAAGGCCCCAACTACTGGCAATCATCCCATGACCACAAGGGTAGCCAGCCTTAGGATAACTGCCAATGCTGTGGCTAGAGAAAGAGGGAAAAAAATCTCCAAAGTTTGGTGACAATACCAAATCAATGGATTGGAAACACTGAAACCTATCAGAGACTTCATGTAATGAGAGTCAATATAGTTTCTTATTGCTGGAATCATTTTAAGTTGGATTTTTAATTATTTGGGTTTTTTTTGTTTGTGTGTGTGTTGGTGTTGAAGATCAAATCCAGGACCCTAAGCATATGTGTATCACCAACCTATATCCCTAGCCCAGTAATTTKCATCGTACAGCTAATGAGTAGTCCTAGTATGGCACTCTTTAAACTCTTAACAATCTGTATCAAGTAGAAACCATACCAAGACCCACATCATATTTAGTTAATCTGTAAATCTGAGACTGATTTATCTGTCCTATTTTAACAAAGAATGAATCTTTAAAAATTTATAACTTGTTATACTTTCTCAATGTCTGAACTAAATTTTATTAAAAGATTATGCATCACATTCACTTCATTATTTACTCAAAGTTCTTGCTGTAGGCTTTGTCTTGAATGTGTAAGACCATTCGCCGTGCATAAAAGTCCCTGTATTCCTCTGGTAATTCAGCCAGTGTTTTTAAGGCTCTGTCTAAAATTTGTGCAGCTCTTGATGCTGCTTTAGGATCTTTGTTTCCATAGGTGTCTGTTTTATCATAGCATTCAGATGGAAGGTGCTTCCAAAAGACATTCACTCCCACTCCAAACTCTTCAGAAATTACATTATGGAACCATAAAGCTGGAGAAAGTTTCAAAAAACAAGTTAAAAATAAAACCTACAGTTAAAAAAAAAAAAACCCAAAATGTCACTGAAATATCACGAATTGCATATAGCCAATGTAAGAAATAATTCTTGTAACCAAATCCCTTCGTTAGCACACTCCCAGCTTCTAACAGAATCATTTTAACTTTTATGAATTGCCAAACCAATTTAAAGTGTCGAAACCCTTAGTTTAAAAATCTTTAGAAATAGCAATTTTTCMTTTATAACTTGATGGGCATAATAAAGCTATATTTATTTTGTAGTTCTCATCTGGGGCTATGTTTTGTGTTACTTGTTTACACTTCCTGAGTCCTACAACTACATAAAAACTTTTTCTTGGTATACAGAACATTTCAATTATTTGAGAAGTATGACCTTTTCTGATTCAGTACAAGACCTTTGTTCTCAAAGACTTCATGTTCAAATTGTAATTTGTTTTTCTAACTTGCTTAAATTTGCATTCATTGTAGCTTCCTCAGTTTTATATTTCTAATGCAATTATAATCATGTTATATTTCAGCTCCTTTACAACAATTAGTACACAAAACTACAGCAAATATTTTGATGGTGGAGGCAATGGGTAAAATATATTATATACCTAATTAATTTTTTATTTTCACTAAAAAGTTTACTTTGTTTTCAATTGAGTCTATACGTTTTCAAAATAAGTGTCAGAGGCATGCTAAAGCAACACGACAATGTAACAAAGATGGAGTACTAATCATGTCAAACAATGTTTAATCTTATGCAAGGTTTAGAAAGAAAGATTTAAATTTTCGAATCAAACTCATTCTAAGAGTGCTTGAGGAAAAAGAAAAGATGAACATAGTTTGATATGCAGAAGTAGTCTTCAGTTTTAATCTTCACTTCAATTTTTCTAGAATCTTTCTTAAAAGAAAAAAACTAACCATTCTGTTAAATTTAAATCCTAAGATGGGACTTTTGCTTTTGTTTCAAAATATATGCAAATGTTTAATATTTGGGGACTTTTTGTTTTTTAAAAAACCTATATGTAGAATAACAGAAAAGTGCATGTCCCTTAACCATGTTCTGAAGATACAAAAATCAAAAATGTAAATACAAATTTTAGAAAAGACAACTGATTTTAAGATTGATGTAATGGTTATTCTCAATGAATATAAGAATGAGAAATCAATGCATCCAGTTTTTATAGATGATCAATTACATGAAGGACATTATACAGCTGTGCAAAACTATTTTTCTTTCTTTATATCTTTATCCTCTAAGCTTTTTTCTACTTTTAAAATTATGTGTTTTTACTTTTTAAACTTTTTTGAAAAAAACAAAACACAAACATACTTTCACCTATATCTACACAGGGTCAGGATCAATGCCTCCCATCTCCCCATCCTGTCCCACTGAAGGTCTTCAGGGGAATAACAAAGCAAGCTGACATCTGTTATGGCAACAATGTTTTTTTCTGGAGTACTTCCTGAGGGACCTACACAAGGCTGTTATACAGGTAACTTTTTTTTTTTTATAGGTAGCAGTATACTCTAATGATTAAAAGTATAATATAGTAAATAGAGAAACCAGTAACATAGTCATTTATCATCAAATATTATATACTACATATAATTGTATGTGCAACATAGATTGCTTTTGAGAAACAAGACTATTAATTTCTAAGAGTTTGCTGAGGTATTCTTTAAACATACACACACACAGAGAAAAATAATCACATAGAGTATGAGTCACAGTGCAGATTTTATAAAACAGCACATTACTGAGGTCTAGAAATCTTACCAGGAATGAATAATATATCACCAGCTTCAAGGGTACATTCGTACCTTCTAGCCTTGGAAAAGAGTGGATATTTAACTAAGTCTGGGTTGTCTATATTTAGTACTTCTGATTTAGTACCTGAAAAATTCAAAAAAAGGAAAACAAAGATTGGGCAAAGTTAGCATTTTTAGATAAAGTATTTTTACAAATACAAATATGAAAATTAATTCTTTTCTGTTCAATCACTGTACTCACACCATGAGGGCAATGACTATTCTCCTGAAACCTAAGACAGTTTTCCATGACTCATTCTTTAATTATGAACACTGATACCCATGCAATTAAGATAAGAATATGAAAATCTCATTCTTCTGGCAGACTACTCCTGTGTGTATTACACATATATAAAGGAGAATACAATAAATCATAGCAAAAAGTGCCCCCAAATGTTTTTCCCCCTCAATGTGAATAGAGATTTCTCAAAAGGAGTAACTGAATAGACATTAAAAATATAAAACTTTTTWAAAAACCCATACCTGACAGATATAAATACTGGGCATCTCGAGGGCTGAATAGTGTAACACGCTTTTTTCCTGTTACTTGTACTAAAAAGTTATCCATCACCTGAAGACCAATAAAAACTTATTGGTAAGCAGTGTCTAAAATTCAAATAAATAGAACCAACAACTTTCCACATAATTAACTACAAACCTTAATTCTTTTTCATTTACTTATTTTGAGACAGGGCCTCACTATGTTGCCCTTACCTAGGCTGGCCTCAAATTTGCAATCCTCCTGCCTTAGCCTCTGTAGCTGGGAATATATAAGTATGTGCCACTGTACCCAGACTAAACCCCAATCTTTTATAAGACTTGACTTACACTACCTAAAACTCATATTCTAATCTAACAATGGAAATCCTCATATTCCACATATAGCTATGCCTGTATTGAAGGTATTTCTACAGTATTACCTTAAAATAGGAAGAACTGGCAAATTAGGAAGTCCAGTATTAGGAAACTAATTTCCCTTATCCAACCATTAATTGACTGTGAAAATAATTAAATTGTACTTGATACTCTGCTTAGTTAACAACTTCTTTATTTAAGTTTCAAGGAATGTTCTAAGACCAACCAACATTAGAGAACAGAGTAAAAGCCCTTAGAAAAATTAGGTGTTAGGAAAATGGGTACAGTTACAACCACTGCTAATTCTTAATACATGTTTAACAATAATATGATTATAGATATCTTCATTATCAAATTATTTGCACAGGAATATAATCTGGCAAATTTTCTTTTTAAATTTTTTTTTAGTTATAGATCAACACAATACCTTTATTTTATTTGTTCATTTCTATGTGGTATCGGGGATGGAACTCAGTGCCTCACACATGCTAGGCAAGTGCTCTACYACTGAGCTACAACCTTGGCCCTGCAAATTTTCTTAATACATTTTTTCATAGAATAATCTTAATGTTTCCTATATATGCAAGAATATACCTTCTTAGTACTGACTGTTAAAAATGTTAAAAGGCAGAGCCACATGATTCTCAGCTAAGGAATTAAGATATACACTGAGCAAGATATATTCATGATTATTCACATGTCATTACTACTGAAGCATTTCTCCTTTTAGCAGTAACCCTTTACTTATATAAACCTTAACCATATAATTATAACTAGCATTTCTTAAGAAAAGCTTTATATATTTTTTACAAGTTGAGGTAAAAGGGAAACTACTTAAAATTTTAAAATGTTCTCAAGTCATAGAACTTATCGCTAAAAATGTTGTGAGTCACCATATCATTTTTCTCACCATGTCATTCATGTAAAATCTTAAAAAAAACAATGTGCTAAGGTTTCATGTCTGTCTCACTTAATTATAGATTTACTGACTATGCTAAAATCCTCCCAAGAGGTCTTTAAATGAATTATAAAATATACATATAAAACATAGCAGTTTGATTTAGAACCTTTTAAAAAATTATTTTATCTTTGGAAACCTGTTAGGTATTACTTCAGCTTCTTGTTTCTCCACTTCCTGACACCAAATCACACACCATACTAGCATTTTAATATTTTAAAAAATGTATAAATATATATACATATATGTATATTTAAGCAAATAAAATTAAAATACCATAGACTAAATAATAAAAAAAACACCTAAACTTATKTTTTGACTTACAAGTACAGTAGACAAAGATATAAATACTAAGCTCTTCAGATACCCCCAAATTCTTACAATTAGAAATAGTTCACCATAAGCTCCTGCCTTTCTCCTGAATAACGTGACTGTATGGCAAGAGTCATGCGTATCATTTACACACCTGTCTGCCCCTCCAGTGCTTTACCTGGTGGTCATCTTTCACACATTAAAAAGTAAAAACAGAAAATACGAATACACTTCATAAAACTTACATATATAAGGATGAATCAAAAACAAGACCACAGAGAAATAAAATGTGAAAAACTAGACTTTGCCRTTAGCTAAATAATTCACTCCCCCATTACTGCCTTATAAACTGCTTATTCAAAACTCAATGTTTCAGCAAATTATACCACAAAGATCTTTAGGGTGGCTTAAAAAGTTAAAAATAGGAATGTTAAATCTGTAAATGCTATATTTATGTGGAATTAGATTTTTCACATAGTTAGCATACATCATAGTGGGTCCAAAGCTGTAATCCAGGTGAACTAATTCGAAAAACACTGGAAAAGAACTGTTCGTCTTTGAAGAAGTTTGGAAACTTAATATCTCCTTCTAATAAAGGAAATTGCTTTCTGATATCTGCAACATCCTGTATTGACAGAAACATAAAAACAAAATATTAGATAAAAAGACAACCTCTGGAAAGAATTTTAAAATGAATATTTTATCTAAGGCTACCAATGAGACTACATAATAATAATAAGAAAAGGGCAAGGAGTGGGAGGGAAAGGGAGGGAGAAGGGGAATAGCTAGGATGGTGGAAGAGGGTCATCATTATACAAAATACATGTATGAAGATGTGAATTTGGTGTCAACATACCTTATATATAAACAGATATATGATAAAGGGTAGTATAAAGGTTTATTAAGAATTGTAAGCAAAAAATAAGAGCTCATGTATAATGGCATAATTTGGTGTGAACATACTTTATATACAGTTACAAAAAATTGTACTGTGAATGGATAATCATGAATGTAATGCACTCCACTATTGTCATGTATGTAAGAAACAAATAAAAAAAAAGAAAGGAAAAAAAGGGTAAAACTTTGCTCAGTGTTTTAAAATATTGTGATGTGAACATCTGTTAACACATTATCTTACTAATGAAGAAATAACAGACTGTGTAAATAAGATTACAGATTTAACAGTATCACACTGTTAAGCTCTATGTACTTCATTAATAGAAAGGTTCTTTCTACTTTAAGCAAGATTTATACAATTGTCATCTACTCTAATGTGGCTCTATACATGTGACTCCAAATATACATCAAAGCTTATATAATGAATTATTCAGGATTTCTAATTATTTTGGATTAGTGTTTTATTAGTCGACTGGCCATCTATAAAATATTCAATAGAAGGGATTTATTATTGTATAGATTTCTTATTGTATAATAATATTTCTTATTCTTATTGTATTTCTTATTTAAACACTAAGATTCTATAGTCCTACCTAAGAACTAAGTAATCAATTTTCAATAATTTTAATTAGGGGCACAAATCATTGAGAAAAGAATAGAGTAAGAAAAGTTACATGTCAATCAATAACTATAAAAATTACACTGTAAGTTAAAACACATATAATCACTTAGGCTTTAAACAACTGTTTTAAATCCACAGTTCTTTTTTTCTTTTCTAAACTGGGAATTCAACCCAGGGGCCCTTTACCATTAGGCTACATCCCTATTCCCTTTCATTTTTTATTACAGGGTCTCACTAAGTTGCCCATGCTGCCCTTGAACTTGCTTCAGTTTCCCAAGTCACTGGGATTACAGGTATATACCACTGTGCCCAACCTTAAATCTACATTTCTTACCTTTCTAGGGTCTTCTCCAAGAGACCGTAAGTAGTATTTCTCATCCTTAAACATGCCAAAGAAAAATAACAGCATTCATTTAAAAATTTTAGGAAGTAAAAAAGGAAGGAATTAAGCTTTAAAATCTGACCCAGTGAAGTATTTTTCTAAAAAGTTCAATTACCTTACCCTTTCTACTAATGCTCTCTGGTGGCCATATGAAGAAATGTCTTCATGTATGTGGCTCATAATGATGAATGGATCCACAAAACATTAAGTAAAATAAATTCTAAAGGCAACACTTAACACACCATGCATAAAACCACAATGATTTACACTTTATACTCCAAATAATTATTTAGATTTTTTAACAGTTTCTTAACACTTAATAAAAGGATCCCCATTTGTATAGAATACATGATCTCAAAATATTATTAAACACTAACAACAAACTTCTCAATTTAATACAAATATAAAATAAGAGATAAGAAAAATACTCTTTGCTTTTAATAAATCTTTTAAAAACTTGGAACAGTGCATTTTATCAGGCTAAACCTATCCCTGACAACAGAAATGCTAAAGTGAAATCCTTAAGAGTCAGCTCAGGTGTGAGTTAGAAACATTATCATTTCATACTAGTAAACTCAAATGGATAATTTTTTAAATTATCATTTATACTTCACTGAGTAGCTAAATAGGGATCTGCCTGAAATATAAAACATTCACTGTAGGGTTGGGAGTATAACTTGATGGTATAGCATTTGCCTAGCATTTTGTAAAGCGCTGGGTTTGAGAATCAGCACTGAAAAAAATGATAACGACGACAACAACAACAACAAAAACCCATTCATTGTTACCTGCATTTTCCCTGAATTAGAGAACTGAGATATATTAGGTCAAGTTCAGGGGCAAACCAACTCAAGAATTCTGCCTCTCTGAAACCAGTATGAACCATTATAACACAAACTTCAAAATACATCTTATTTACATTAAAACCCTATATCTATGATCATAAATCTATCAGAATTCTTGGATTCACTATTTTCATATTTTTAGTATCAGATCAGATAGGTTCTATAAATATGTTACTGGCTAAACAGATTTCAAAAAATGTTCTTCAAAATTCTAAGGATATTCTAACAGTCTAATGTTTCAGGGTTTAAAAAAATAAGTTCACATAGCAGAGATCTACTGCTCAGATTCAAGATTCAAGAAAGGACTTATTACTTATAGTTGCAAGAACTGTGATTTACTTAGGATTGCCAGCTGTTAACTTCCTAAGGTTTACCTTAGTACCTGAAACAAGGTTTTACTTTTCCTAGGGCAGGCCCAACCAAAGACTAAGTTGGTAGTCCTGCCAATCAAGGCGGGACTCCTCTGACATACAGTACATACAAACTAGATGACTTCCTCTACCCAAGCCTGCTTCCTCTCCTTTCCTTTTATAGACATTACTCCCTAATGCATTCCTAATTCTATCTCAGCCTCAGCTTTCCACAGGACTGAATCGACAGTCTAAATTAATCTTGTTTACAGACTTTCCATACTTTTTAGACTTAATCCTTCATCCTGTCTCTCTTTCTTTTACTTCACATTTCACAGCTATTGAAATCTGTGCACTCATTACCCACAGTCAGRAAGCTGCCAAACAGCAACTAAATACAAATGTTCAAAGCATGGCTATAAAGTAGTACAGCTAATGGAATTAGGTTTAAGACATTCTAGGCATAGTACAGATTCACAGACCTCCAAGTGTGCAGGGATTTCGATGGCAATCTAGCATTACCACTGCCTGATGAGAGAACTATGAAAATGAAACACCTGTTAAACTAAACTGCCTAGCCCAGCTGGCTTTTAGGTAGACATCAGTTTTTGATTAAAAGCTTAAAGCAGCTTATTTTTGCAACGAGCTTTGAGATAACACAGTGATTTTTTTTAAAAATTATAGAAATATTGTAGCTCAATGCCTTGTCTCAAGGTATTTAAACTGAACTATTTAAAGCTGGACTATAAAGAAAATAAGAATTCTTTTAATCTAATCTTGAACAAATGTTATACCACTCAAAAGAAATCATATTAATAAAAAATGTAGAAACAGCCTATATGAAATAAAGTTCTTCATTAGCATTTGAATTTGGCATATTAGATACAAGCATTTTCAAAAGAAATAATACTAATATCTTACATATAATAAATAGTATCTGTGTTAGGCATACTACTAAGTATTTTACAGATTTTGCTTAGTTAATTCTCACAAAACTCTTATGATATGGATACTGTTATTATCTCCATTTTATACATGAGTGTATTTAAGCACAGAAAAATAATATGGCCAAGGTTTGAGAACTGATAAATGGCAATGCTAGTCTGTGGCATATCCAACCAACTCTTAAGAACAATTATCAGAGAAGGCTACAGTTCCTGTATATCTAATGATCTTTTGTAAGATAATAATTTAGCATATGAATACTTTCTAATAAAATCAGTGTATAAACACATACTAATGCTTTCTAAAAAATTAAAAACAATTACCTCTGAAATAAAGAATTCTTTATGCTTTTCTTCAGCTGCCCTCTGGACCAACTTGTCAAAAGGCAAAGTTCTGAAATAAGTACAAAAGAATACTCAGACTTCATAAGAGAATAACTAGTAATATAATTACTATAGGCTTGCTGCAGGTAAACATGACATTTTACAATATTCATAGTTTTTATTATGACCTATTAAGTGGAATTCTAAATTTTAAAAATTCATTTTAGCAGTATGCTTGTTTGATGTAAGTTATCTGAAATTGTGGAATTTGAGATTTTAAAATTTATTTTACAGATGGATTCTTACAGGTCAATATCCTTCTATTCCAAGTTATTGGTAGAAAAATGCTTCTATGGTATCTGATAACTTTTGGAAATATACAAACTTTCAGGTTTCAATAGCTACCTGTTTCAAGTGTCATGGAAAAGCAAATTGAGTGAGGAATGGGGTTCTCACTGATACTATACTGCTAAAGTGCTACTTCTTGCCTTGTATTCGTCTGAAAATCTAAGTGTCTCTGATGCCAGGTTATGGGCTAATGGCTCCTATGAATGTGAAAGTCAATCTGAACTAGAGGCTACCACTGCTAATTATGTAGAATGAGCATTGCAGAAAAGAGGAGTCCACCATCTACTCAGATTAATCTACAAGGTACTGTTCTTATATAAAATTTTGGATCAATTACATCAATAAATTTACTTGCTATTCTGTTATTCAATGTTTTCTATCTCAGGACTTCCGTTACCTCATGCATGTTCCAAACAGAAACCCATCTACTATTGTTATGAAAAATGGTAAAAAATATATGGAAAGTTATGGCCCTAGAAAGAGACAAGGGGCACTTAGAGATGTAGAAAAGCAAGGTTTATTCAGCACTGCTGCAGGCTCAGTGAAGTCCTCTCCAAAAGTTGAGCCTAGCCCCTTTGTTCTTCATATCTTTCATTTTAGTACAGAATTCTGGGTTTCAATACTTTCTCATGCAAGTAACTTTGATTTCTCACTTTCTTCAGATAGCTCTGGTTCCTGACACAGCTGCTGAGCAAGCATGATTACACAGGCAGAAACTAGTAGGTTGCAGTTATTAACAGAGATAAAAAGAAACATCTTAGGAAGGAGATGCCGCTTCACTATTAAGGGACCATTTTTCTGGACTAGCACACAGACCAGTAAGAAAGACAATATCAAATAAGGGTTACCATGGATGCCATGGAGTCAGGCAAATTTGAGTACACGTATGAGTTCTATCATTTTGAACTGCATGATCTTGGATAAGTTGCTTAATATTTTTAAACCTTCATATTTTCCATCTGTAAAATCACATAAACAATATCTACCTCACAGATTGTTTTGTAGTTTAAAATGAATAAAATCTAGAATGCCTGGCACAGTACTGAGTATTCAGGAAAGGACAGATGTTAGGGTTAGCAATAATGAAAATACATATACCCTTCAGCAGCATGCAAGTAGTCATCAAAATTAAGAAAAAAAAAAAAAGGAAAAAAAAACTTCATCCATTTTGTAAAGGCTGCTTTACAAAATAAGAACAGAATTGATGAAAGTACAATAAATAATAAGAGCAAGACAAAAGAATTACATGATGCCCTAGGCAGAGGCAGCAAAGCAAAGCTTCTGAGATTTAAACTTTTTTTCAATTAGATCTATAACCAGAATATATCAATATCCTTTCATCATACAAGGTTCTCTTGTCCATAGTATCCTGACTCAAGAAGAAAAATGTAAAAGTTAATACTTGTTAATGTATCCGTCTTCAGATATTTGATAAAGAAGAGGAGCAACATCAAACTGAAGTGATTTTTATAATATTGTACCTGTAGAATTTTGTACTTTCTAGTGTCTCTTTGGCCTAGATATCTCCCTTCTTTCCTCCTTCCTGGTAAATGCTAAAAAGTATTAAACCTTTTTTCTTTTTTCTTGCGCTAAATAATCTTGCAACTTTTTAGTAACTCTAAGGAAAAGCTTTGAGGAAGCTGGGATAGAAACTATTATGTAATATATGTGCTTCAAAAACAAGTTTTGAAAAGACATGACAAAACATCAAAGCAATTCAAGATGAGTTTTCAATACCCATTAGACTCTGGAAAATGAACATCATTAATTGCAGGCTGAAAAATCATCATTCCAGCATTTTCCTGATCTAATAAAAAGTGAAAAGTTCTTACACTTGGAAAACCTTGTGGTAATTAAATTCAATTCATGGTCTATTAAAAAACAAAACTATAATGGTGACCATTCAAATGGTAAAAAATTGAGAAAAGTTTTGGCAGTTGTAACATGAGCTTGGAAACTTTAATGAGAAAGGAATGCCCCTGGACATTAGAAACTCTGTTTAACTCATCTCTAAACTGAAATATTTTGTGAACTACATGGTTTTTCAATAGATTAATTTGCTGGGAACTAAATGTGCTCAGAATTTGAAAGTTGTTGGTTTTTAACTTAACATTATTAATGAATCTCTGGGGAATAAATAACACATAAAACCTGCAAAATAAAATAATATTTAAAGCTTTCAAGTTTAGATATTCAGCAGCTTATGATTATCTATTTGCTTTCTTTGGGGATAGTACAAGGTATTGAACCTGGTGCCTTGTGCATGGTAGGCAAGCACTCTACTACTAAGCTAAATCCTCAGCTCCTTTTAAGAGATTCCACAGCATAACATAACAACTATGAAAGAAATCAAAGTATTGAAGGTTAGAAAATATGATTTTTTAAAAAAAAGTTAAACAAATTGATGAAAGATTATACCAAACAAGCTTGTCCTACATTTTTATAGAGGACAGAAAAAGAAAACATGAGCCTTTTAGAAAATTTCCTACACTAGATAAGTTTACCAATGTGGTAGGATAAATTGATTAATGGAGCAATGAATGAGCACAGCATACCCACCCACTTTAGATATAATCTAATTTTAATTGTGGAAATTCTCTCTTCTATAACTTCCAAAAAATATTGGGTATATACCCTGTTAAAGAAATGGTCTTTGGGAACATCTTTGTATAATTATATTAACTTTGAATTCTTGTCTATTAAAAGCTACTCTTTAGGGACTGGGGTTGTGCTCAGTGGTAAAGCACTTGCCTCACACAAGTGAGGCCCTCGGTTTGATCCTCAGCACCACACAAAAATAAATAAATAAAATAAAGGTATTGTGTCCAACTACAACTAAAAAATAAATATTTTTWAAAAGTGCTATACTTTAAAAAATCAGTAAGCTAGTCCATGATTACATCAGATAGCCAAAAATGTATAATGATATAAAAATATTTTTTAAATTTTAAAAAGGTTATTTGTACCCCAGAGTAAACCTCAGAAGAAAATACCTATATACAAAATTCTTACTAATGAAGTCCATCTGTTCAACTGTAGCAACATGAATCTTTACTTCTTTTGTCCCTCCAACTTGGCTTAGGTAATCCACTGTCCATTTGCTTGTACATGCTCCTATGTCAATTCCTTCTAACACAAGAGGTTTTCTCTGTAAATAATGAAAAGTGCAACAAAAGTTTGTGAAAACCAACAATATATCAATCGTTATATTTGATAACAGAGGGATAAGCTTTGATTCTTGATCCCCAGATACTCAAACTCAAAATTTCTGACAGTTCACACTATCACTAAAATTGGAAGAAGGCCCATGAATTAGACCTAGAACAAAAGGTTAAGATTAGGAAAACAAACAGTAGTATCATCAATAGAAAAGAAATCTAAATATTACATATACTTTCATGTTATTTATGACAAAATATATATTATTAAAATTTATACTTTATAGTAAAATATTTCTATAACTTTTTACTTTGATACCATTTCAAACTTCTAAAAACATTGCAAGAACATTACAAAGAATCATATACTCTCTATGCCAGTTCACTAACTGAATATTGTGTCCCATTTGCTGTATCATTTGCTCTCACTGTGTGTTTAGAGAAGGACATATTATTAAACCTAATTTAATTTTTTCGTAACCGTTCTAAGGTTAAAATGCTGGCATTACAAGCCTTTCTCTCTAGAAACTAAGTGTACTTCCTGTGAACAAAGACACTCGTAAATAACGATGGAGTAATAATCAAAATTATATTTCATACTTATATAATATTATTATCTTATCCACAGTCCATATTTAGATTTCATTAATTTTCCAAATAATTTCATTTAGCATTATTTCTTTTCCTGGACCAGAATTTAGCCTGAAATGCCACATTACATTCAGCTGCCAAGTCTTTTAATATGGAACAGTTCTTCAACTTTTGTCTTCCATGACCTTGACATTTTTGAAGTATATGGACTAATTATTTTGTTGAATGCCCTTTGATTTGGGCTTATCTGAAGTTTTTTCATGATTAGATTCAGATTATACATTTTGGGGAAGGAATGTACCACAGAAGGGATATGGTGGCCCTTCCTGGGCACCACATTAGGTGATAACTGATATTTYGCCCTAACATTTGTGATGTTAACTTCAACTGGTAAATCTTGTCTAAATCAAGTACTGTTAAGGTTGAGTGTAAAAAGCAGTGATTAAAAAAAATTATATAATTTCTTCTACAGTTGTAAGTTCCACTAATGTAAAAAATGACCTCTAACTTTTTCATTTATTTTATTCTTTGGATAATCTATTAATGTCATTTTAAAACTTGAATTATTTTACATTTGGCTGGTTCTTAAGACTTTTTAACCTGAATACTTCCTTATTTTGTGGCAAAATAACATAATCCAGCATCCTTTTATACTTTTTTTGCCCAGCCCTACAGTCTGGTTTCTTTCAGTGGGTAATGTTTACCCCATTTTTGTCCCATCATCTCAAATATGAAACACCTGTAAAAATGTAAATATGGTATATAACATGTAATATTAAATATTATTTAAATTAGTATTATTTAATATAATAACATACATAAGCTCTAGACTGATTTCCAACCTATTTTAACACACTTGCATCAACCTCATCAAAACATTCACAGAATTGAAAACGTGGGACTCAGTGGATTAATGGCACATCATTACTTCTGCCTTCTCATTGGACAGAGCTAAGAAATACATGAGCATATATGTATACCCCCCAAAACACACATACACATATGCATATACATATATTTATCTCTCTCCATATATGTACTATATTTATACACACATACATACCGAATGTACATATATTTGTAATCTCTTCTCCAACAATGAGAAACTTAATTCCTATCATTCTCAATGTTTAATCAATTGCAAAACTCCAGAATTTACAGAAAGTTCTTTCAGAATTACGAGGTAATATCACTATTAAAAAAAAAAAAGCCTACACTTTTTATCATTACACTGGGGACATATAATCAAAGTACTATATTAAAAAGTGTCTTAGATTATTTCTCCCCATTCCTTAGATAGAGTCATTCGTTACTGTTTGATTTCTATTTTGGGGTTTTGCTTTTAACAAAATCATTTCTTATCCTTACTGGTATTATTACTTAGAAATGTAAAACATTGACATGATTTCCCAAAGTCACAACTATACRTAACTATACATCCACATTTTTCTATCTCATACTCATTCCCTAGAGATAATTGTCATAAATTTCTATCATTACTGTATTTTTTCCAAGTGCTCAAAAAATATACATATCAGCTCTCCCTTAAAAAAAAAAAAACATGAAAAGTAGTTTACTATATATTTTCTTTGGTAACTTGGTTTTAAAAATTTTTTAAATGTACCTTGGGAAATGCTGTCAGTTCAGATACTTCCATTCTTTTTACAGCTTAGTATAACACAGTGTAACTGGGCCATAATTTATCCACTCATTCTCCTGTGCATAGGCATTTAGGTTTTTTTTTTTTTTCACTAATCTGCAAGTACAACAACACTATGTAGACATTTTCATACTTTTGGACGAATATCTCCAGGATAAAATCCTAACAAGAAACAGCTAAGTCAGAAAGTAAACAAATGTAGTTTTGTTGAATATGCCATAAGTTTAGTCACTGGGTATGACAGCAGCAGTTTCTCCACAGCAACACTAAGAGGCATTATCAAAGCTTTTTAAAGGCCATTTTCAAGTTTTGTTTTGGTTTTAAAATTGACTATTCATTTTCCTATCAGATTTTTGGACTTCTCCCCAACCTTCTTTTAATATTTCTTTATAAGAACTCAAAAAACTTATCAGCAAAACAACAAATAACCCAATCAATAAATGGGCAAGACACTTCACAGATGAAATATGAACAGTCAACAAATCTATGAAGAAATATTCAATATCATGAGCAATTAGCAAAATGCACATTAAAACTACACTGAGATTTCATCTTGCTCTAGTCAGAATGGTAATTATCAAGAATACAAGTAACAATAAATGTTGGTGAGAATATAAGGAAAAGTGGGTGGTGGTGTGTCACCAGACTGGACAGGGCGGAGTCAGGGGGAAGGAAAGGGGAGTGGGAATGGGAAAGACAGTAGAATGAATCAGACACAACTTTCCTATGTTCATACATGAATACAGGACCAGTGTAACTCCACATCATATATAACCACAAAAATGGGAAGTTATACTCCATGTATGTATGATGTCAAAATACATTCTACTGTCATGTAAAACTAAAAAGAACAAATTTAAAAAGAGAAAATTTTAAAAATAAAGTTCTTCATATCCAATGTTTTTTTACACCCTTTATGAGATTTAAGTTACAATATCCCAGTTTGTATATCTYTCAACTTGCTTCTAGTGTTTGTCATATAAATTCTTTTCTACTCAAACATTAATCTTTTATTACACTTGAATTTTGAGTTATTGTTATAAGGCCTCCTAGAAACCTAGATTATAGAGGAATTTATTMATATTTTCTTCTACAACTTGTATAGTCTCAGTTCTTCTGATCTACCAGCAGTTATTTTATTTTTATTTTTATTTTATTTTTTGATACTGGGGATTGAACTGGGGAGGCACTTAACAATTGAGTCACATCCCCAGCCCCCCACTTTTTAAAAACATTTTTAAAAATATTGTATTTAGCTATAGGGTCTTTCAGAGTTGCTTAGCCTCACCAAATTGCTGAGGCTGGCTTTGAACTCACAATCATTCCACATTAGCCTCCAGAGCCATTGAGATTATAGGTGTATGCCACTATGCTGGGCTCACCTGTAGTTTATTCTTGCATATGGTGGGATATATCTAATTTTATCATTTTCTTTTTTTTTTTTTTTGGTACTGTTATAAGGCCTCCTAGAGACCTAGATTATAGAGGAATTTATCCATATTTTCTTCTTCAGAGGTGCTTTACCAGTAAGATACATTCCCAAACCTTTAAAAAAATTTTGAGTCAGTGTCTAAGTTGTTGAGACTGTCCTKGAACTTTCAATACTTCTGCCTCAGCCTCTAGAGTTACTGAGATTACAGATGTGGGCCATGAGGCCCAGCTAATTTTATTGTTTTATAAATGACTTTTCAGTTACCTTAGCAACATTAGAGCAATGAAACTACTTTGTATGATACTACAGTGATGAGTATGTGTTATAAGTTTGTCTAAATCCACAGAACATACATCAAGAGTGAACCCTCAAAATGATATGTAACAAATGTATCACTCAGGTGGAGGAGGTTATGCATGTTCGGGAATAGGAAGTATATAGAAATCTCTGTCTTCTGCTCAATTCCAAAGTGAAATTAAAACTTCTTTATAAAATAAAGTCTAAGCTGGGTGCAGTGGCTCACATCTGTAATTCCAGTGTCTCAGGAGGTTGAGGCAGAAGGATTGCGAGTTCAAAGCCAGTCTCATCAAAAATGAGGCACTAAGCAACTCAGTGAGACCCTGTCTCTAAATAAAATACAAAATAGGGCTAGGGATGTGGCTCAGTGGTTCAATTCCTGGTACCAAAACAAATAAAGTCTATTTAAAAACCAATTTTTGCCCCAATAAATTTTGAAATGCCATGCTCATTACATACTATATATTTCTGAATATATACAGAGAGAAAGTACAATATTGAGTTCTCTGGACTTCTATTCATCTGATCTGTCTATTCATGTACCTGGTACCATTCACAATTATAGTTATTAGAGCATGTTAAAAAATCTGATAGGACTATATTCAATCATCTTTTTCTTTTTAGTGTTTTGGGCAAAAAGTTCTTCTCCAATTTTGTTATTAATTTTTAGTTTTACTGCAGTATAACCAGAGAACATTCTTTGTAATTTTCTACTTTATGAAACTTAATGTTTCCTTTGTGACATATTATATCTTGTCTAGGAAGTTACAAAATATCTTTTTTTATGCATCTTACAAAATACTTCCACATACATAATTCTATCTTCACAATGCCTTGTAGGCATTATATGACTAGTATATAGAAATTGGGGACTAGAGGAGAGCAGGAACAATCCATCTATCCCTACTCTCCAAAATAAATTAAATGTTGAATGAATGTCTCCTGTGGGTTGTCAACAACAACAACAACAAAAACCCTTCAACCCTGACTTGTAATTCTCAGAACTGCAGTTTTGTGACCGCCCTAATAGATGTAAGTATCCAGGAAAATTGCTAGGAGATCTTTGTTATTGTTTTGTCTTGTCGTACCTTAGACACACTTTTGTAACGTTTCTTTATTATTATTATTATTACTATTATTATTAYTATTATTATTATTATTATTAAAATACCTGCTGGGTTCCTAAATTCTTCTTTAAGTCTAGACTCTTCGTACAATTCAAGTAAAAATATTTTTTTCGCCTTAATATTTCTCTGAGTTTTCTTTTAAAGAAATGAGGGATTCCAACGTCTGGAATACAATCCAGGTTAGTTAAAATCCAAGACCAGTGAAAATTTTTTCTGGAGATTTCTATTGCTTCCCCTGATGTCTCCTTGGAGTGAAAAGTTTTCACCTCCAAATCTACCAATTCGGGAGTAGATGGACAGGCGCCCTTCGCACCAACAGGGAAGCCGCAAATTCTGCCCTCCACTTTAGAAAACCCGGCAGAAGATGAGCACCCACGGCCACGGTAATGGGAGACGTCTTCTCAGCTCTGTATGAAGCCGCTTTTCGCAGCGAGTAAAGAAGTTAAGCAAAATGATTCTTCACCCAGGAGTCAGCGCGCCCCGCAGAAACCATGAGTTGGTTGTTTTCTCCGGTATTTTAAACAAATGAACCAGTCGACATGCCCCAAGCGCCCTCTCTTTTGGCTGAGGAGCCGACCTTGTCATCGCTGCAGCCTGCTGCCTTTTCCCCACACCCTGAGCCACAAGAAACCAGTTGGGAGCTGGTATAGTACGGACGTGTATCTCCTGGCTTCCCGCGGATGTGCCCCGCATAAGGGCCTCACCTGTGGGTAGAAATGTTGCATGAACTGCTCCCGCGTAACGCCCTCGAGCCGAGGTACCGGGATGCGCTGCCCGGTCATGGTAGCTCACGTTCCCTTCTTCGAAGGCCTCGGAACTTTGGCTCCAAAGCGTACGTCAGCGTGTGATCCGCTCGGAAACACGACTTGAGGAGAAAAGGTCCGCGAGTCCGGCGGACTTCAGAGGACAGCTGTCTGTGCGCCGGGATGGAAGCCRAAGGGCTTGTGTGYTAGAGAGCGGCGATGGACGGATTCACCAGAGGTGGCAGCAACAGGCCAGCTTTGCTCTCCAGTCCCTTGCTCGGAAACTGCTAGGTGGTTTCCCATCGGCTTCCTTTCAGCGGGCACAGGCAAGCAGAGGGGTGAAAGGTCATAAATATGGCGCTGGCCTCCCGTCTGCTACTCAGTCCGCTGTTTACTGGGTCCTTTCCCGGCGGRCTTATCCGACTCCGGGCACCCGGTGCGGCCGAAGTGAGGCTGCGGTTGGCCGGGCTTTGTTACTTCTGCAGCCGCCGCCTAGGCTCCGGATTGGCGCCGTTCCCTCGCCGCACTTGGAACTTGGAGGCCCTGGTGCTGCCTTCTCCGGGCCGCCGGCGACCCCTGCTCAGCTCCCCGAGACTCCCCGCAGCCCTCGCTGCTTACCCTGTTTGCTCTCGGCGCGACTACAGCACGGAGGAGCAGCCCCAGCAACGCCAGAAAACCAAGATGATCATTCTGGGATTCTCCAACCCCATCAACTGGGTTCGGACTCGAATTTATGCATTCCTTATCTGGGCCTATTTCGACAAGGAGTTCAGCATCGCAGAATTCTCTGAGGGGGCGAAGCAGGTTTGTTTCCCTAGGTGACTGTTCTCCTCTCACGCATTCAGCTGTTACAGAAGTGTTTTGATTGGGGTCACCTCACTCAAAGTCAAATTAGTCAAACGTTGGTGGTGACACAGACACCAAGCCCTTTGGGCACCTGGGTGTGTTTGCATGGTCGCAGAGGAGGTGTCCCAATAACAGGCTAAGGTGAAGTCCCCCAGTGGTCTTTTTCACTCTACAGGTTTTACATCAGACAAATGGATTTGAGACCCATTCCTGACACTTCAAAGCTATTCGGTCTTTTTCGGGGCATGATTTTCCAAATTTGCAAAATGGAGAAGACACATAGTAGACACTCCAGAAATAGTTACTGAATAAATTGAGTGGAAGAAATTATGGTGGGGAATGAGATAACACTTTCAAACTACTAGAATATMATTTCGGATAGAAAGTCGGAACTTCCTAACTTTTTTTTTTCTTAGAGTTTTTTAATATTTATTTTTTTTAGTTTTCAGTGGACACAACATCTTTATTTTATATTTTATGTGGTGCTGAGGATCGAACCCAGCGCCCAGTGCATCCCAGGCCAGGGCGCTACCCCTTGAGCCACATCCCCAGCCCTTCCTAAAACTTTTTGACAGGATCCCCCACCGCCTCCACAACTCCTTAGAGGATAACCTGGGGATGAGTAATTTTACCCTTTCAAACAGTTTGCTGAAACTATCTGGGCTCTGATAAGTGCACAGTACCCAGCACACCAGGAATATTTAGCTTTTAGTAATTCATAGCCCCCTGACTTTGTTATGGCCCTCTTTCTGAGTGACTGATAATATCTTGCCTGACACTTGCCACATAATGGTCACTTTGAACCCTGAGATAATTTGCAGATTTTGTGTGTACATGCATTTTTGTAGAATCAAAGGCCATCTCAATCTTAATAGATTCTCTTAGTTTGTCATTCCCAAACATGATGTAACTATTGATAAACAAGTCAGTTTGTTTTCCATTTAATACCTACATAAAGCTTATAATCATACCATCAGTATGATCATTTTACAGTATTGATATTTTTACTCCTAATTTATTTCCAATTATTTTTATAATCTCAGCCATTTAGKTATGCCACCTTTAATAAATATTTTTAACTTTATGTAATCAGTGCTAGTAGTAACTCCTGTTTCCTGTGTCCCTGAGTCAACTCTTGACTATTATATGTTTATAAAAAAATAAACCAAAGCACAAGTTTGATTAATATGTCTACTCAACATTATGATAAAGTGTTAAGTCTCTGCTCATGTTGGGTCTCAAGGTCAGTTGTTGGTGTGATCCTGCTATTTTCTACAGTGCCTGCTAATGACATGAGTTTGTCCACCTTAACAGATGTGATTGTACCAGCTCATTTATGTATTCATAAGGAATGCAAATCATCTCCCCACCTTGATCAGGAATCAGGCCTTAGCCCCTGTTTCTCTGAATACATAGAGATTGGAGTACTTTTTGGATCACACTAACCCTGTCTGTTAACTTTTTTAGCCTCTCTCCTTGAGATTAAACTATTTCTATTCCATCATCCAGTCTTTGTGTACTTTTTTTTTTTTAAAAAAACCTAAGTCAATTTGTGTTGACAACTATTCTGATTTTCAAAAAGACTGTCTGGTGTCAGCATATTGTCTCTTAAACCTGTGTTTCGGACCAAGAAAATCAGTTCTTCAACACCCAAGATAATTTCTATGGTTTTATAAAAGAACATGACCAAAACCCCTTCTCTGTAACTAACTGTCATAATGCAATTATACCTTCTGGTGTGTGGATATAATTCTAGGGCTTGGGGAATATTTTGATATAAAATCAGCTAGTTTCTCTAACTGCATTGTCTTTCTCTTTTTCCTTAGTTTAATCTTCCAGAAGTTAGATGTTGTTGGATTTTGACTGTCAGTTAGATCATGTTCAGTAAGATTTTTATTTTTTAATCATACAACATGAAATTGAAAAGATACCTCTTCTAGTCTAATCTTCCTTTACATATGCTGAAACATTTCCAGAAAGCTGAAAAGATATCTCAAGGATGTGTAGCTAGTAAGTACACTGCCTGTGTTGCACTGTACAAGCAATCTTATTCTTCCAGCATCACTGGCATCTGAGATGGTTACATATCATTTAGGCTAGCATTGAGGAATTGATGGCCCAGTGTTCTACCAGCCTTATGTTAGCTTCACAGACGCTGCTTGCCATTCCACATGACATGATATCTTCCCTATCATTGCTATCAAACCATATACTGTTTTTTTATATTGTGTACATTTTAGCCTTTCTTATGAAAAAGAAGACTATTTCCTAGAAGCCTCTAGAGGTTGAATGCTAGTAAGTTACCAGAACTTTATCAGGGCAGCTTCTTAATGATTCACTGTTTCTTTTTAGAATAATTTGCTCTGGTGTGATCTTCCTTGGCTATACAAATTTTTAGACTCTAATGGTTGGGTTTCAACAAAAATGATTATGGTCTTTGCTTCTTTTGCCTAAATTTTCACCCATCTTTCACATGAAAGCTTACCAGAACATGCAGTATCTCTGAATTCTGAATGCCTCCAGGATGTTTGCAAAGAATCCATGGATTCATCTGGATGTGTTCATTTTCTCAAAGTGCAACTCCACTATTATATTAATTTGCTAAGGCTATTATAGCAGAGTAGCATGGACTGGGCAGCTTCAACAATAGAATTTCAGTATCAAGGTATTAGAAAGATTGGTTTTTCCTGAGCCTCTTGCCTTGTCTTGCAGCTGGCTTTTGTTCTTGCTCTATTCTTGCATGGTCTTTCCTCTGCATGTTTGTGTCCCTGGATCTCTGTTGTGTGTCTTCATTACTCCCTCTCATAAGAACACCAGACAAATTGGATTAGAACCCACCCTAACAGCCTCATTTTAACTTAATCACTTCTCTAAAGGCCTTATGTCCAAATACAGGGGATTAGGATTTCAACAAAAGAATGAAAGGGACACAATTCAGCCCATAACAATTAGGCCATATCCTCTGTCTGATGTATCTATGCATCTCCTTCTGCCAGTTTTTCAGATTTCAGTGGAGACATTGCTTCCTTTAGGAAGCCCTTTCTGGTCCTTCCAGGTTAGATTAGGTGGCTCTTTTGAATCCTCTTAAATCATCATCATCCTGTTCTTAGTTCTGTCATAATTCTTGAACTTGTCAGTTAACATGTCTTGCACCCTAGGTAGACTGAAAGATTCTGGAAGACAAGGAGGGTCTTTTTTTTTAATATATATTTTTAGTTGTTGATGAACCTTTATTTTATTTATTTATATGCAGTGCTGAGAGTGGAACCCAGTGCCTCACACATGGTAGGCAAGTATTCTACCACTGAGCTACAACTCCAGTTCAGAGGGTCATAATTTACTGTTGCATTTCTCATTGTTAGGAATGTGGAGAATTGCATTCACTCCCCCCTCCCTTTAAAATGAGACCTCCTCTTTCAAAGTTAGGAGCCATCAACTGTAAACTTTTTCTCTTTCTTTCTACTTTCGTAAACATACCTTATCTTTCTCAATGAGGTTCAGACTGCAATCCAGATTTCTAGATTCCCAGTACAGTTTAGAGTTTCATGCTTTCCAACTACTACCTATATGATTAAGAGGTGGGTTATATATTAGTCAAATGGTTGTTTACTTTATCATTATTTTAAAAGAAAATATATATGGAGTATTTTTATTGAAGTATCTAGTGTGAACACCACCACATCCTATCATCTTCCAGGTTCTGAGACTATAAAAACAGCTAACTTTAAAGAAGTCATGCCTAGCATTGATCCATTAGTATTTGACATTATTTATCACCTTTACCATAAAATACCCTTTGTTATTATTAGCCATTTAGATATGAACATTGTATGGCATTTTGAAATAATAATTGTCACTCTTCCCTCCTATTTTTTTTTCAAGGCTTTTGCTCATGTATCCAAGTTGTTGTCACAGTGTAAATTTGATCTATTGGAAGAACTTGTGGCCAAAGAGGTAAAATAAACTTTTAATTTTTATTTAAAAATAAATATATGACTCTTGCAATATAATGATACACACTCTTAACTTATAGTTAAAAATAGTGCATATAGGGGCTGGGGATGTGGCTCAAGTGGTAGTGCGCTTACCTGGCATGCGCGGGGCGCTGGGTTCGATCCTCAGCACCACATAAAAATTAAAAAAAAAAATAAAGATGTTGTGTCCACCGAAAACTGAAAAAAAAAAAAAATTAAAAAAAAAATAGTGCATGTACCATCAACCAAAGTAGAATCTGAAATTGTCTATACTCCTTATGAGTATTTTGGGTCATATGAAAGCTGGAATGGTTGCACCTACTTGAGGCATAAATAAGTAAATGTGATGTCTTTCAGTTGCTTTTATGTGTAATGTTCTAGTAGGAATTACCTAGTTGAATATTTAGATGCCTTTCAGTGTTGCCTTTGAGGATCAGTAGATATGATAGTAAATTTAAAAGCAGATTTAGAAAAATTCATTCTATAATAAAGGTCATATTTTGAAATATTTTCGAAAATTGAATTGGTAATCTAATGGTTTGTTTTTCCCAAACTTAGGTGCTTCATGTATTAAAAGAAAAGGTTTCTTCACTACCTGATAACCATAAAAATGCTCTTGCTGCTGACATAGATGAAATTGTCTATACATCAACAGGAGACATCTCCATTTACTATGATGAGAAAGGTAATGCTGGAGTAGTCCATCTTAAATGATCCCCAATTGTTCAGATGAGCTTAAGTAGTGAATAATCACAAAAATAGTAGTTTTGCTGTACAAGCAGATATTTTTAGAACTTCAAAAGAAATGATATATTCACTCTTTAAGACCTAGCTCTAAAAAMGTTGAGCTATGCTAATGGTTTTAATGCCTTTCTATGTAGGTATTTTCCCAACTGCTGTGTAATACACAAGAGAGAACATCATCACATGCTTTGGAAATTGTCTGTTTAGGACAAGCTGCTTCCATGGTGCAGATTAGAAATATTTGTTTCAGATCTCCTAACTTGAAGGAACAATTGAGCATTTTAAATTTACAGCTACACATTATATGGAAGGAGTAAAGAGTAAAAGAAAAAGTAGATACTATCAGCTCAAGACTGATATAATATGGAAAGAAAAATGTTAACTATAGAATTCCCAGATTGGATTTAGGGATAATGAAAAAAGTTTAAAGGAACCTTAGTGGTTATCAATTCTTTTCCTTGTTCATTGAGTACACTTCCCCTATAGCATTCCTGAGAATTCATTGATTCCTTCTACACAGATTTGCATAYGCAGTATGTGCCAGAGACATCAGAAAGCTAGCCTCTGCTTTCATATTCCGAAGGCAGTATGATAGAGGACTCAATGGTTGGAAATTTTTAATGCACATGTTAATTTGAAACATTTGTAAAAGTGTTTTTGGTGATAAGAGTATTTTATTCAACCCTAATATTTCATATTTCATCCTGGCACTGTGGTTACTGATTTTTACACAGGATATTGTCAGAATTGCCTGACAAAGCAGAGTAAATGAGGGTGGAATAGAAGCCTTTTTTCTTTTGGGCAATTGAGCATAAGTTAATTACATAGCAGCAAAAAAAAAAAAAAAAAAAGAAAGAAAGAAAAGAAAAGAAAAAAGTGATTTTTCCTGTTTGTTTTTGTCTTGACAACAAATACCTGCTGTAAATTGTTATAATTTTTAAAAATGCTATAAATTGGGAATATTCCATGTAGTGTGCTTAATAAAGTATATGTTGATAAACAGTAGCTTTATTACTGAGATGCAGAGAGGAGGACAAATATATCACAAGCCCAAAGAAAATTTTCTAAAAATAAAGTATCAGGGCTGGAGTTGTGGCTCAGTGGTAGAGCTCTTGCCTACCGTGTGTGAGGCACTGGGGTCAATCCTCAGCACCACATAAAAAATAAATAAATAAATAAATAAATAAAGGTCTATCAACAGCTAAAAAAATATTTAAAAATAAATAAACAAATAAAGTATCAATCTAGGTATCTTAACAGTATACCAGAATTTGTATAAACTTTGATCTATAATAGCTATATAACTACTGCCAATTTCTGATGTTAGTTTGGCTATATGGATGATAGATTATTGTGATTTGTATTTGTGTATGTGTGTATGTGTGTTTTTTTCTCTAAGGAAGGAAGTTCGTTAACATCCTGATGTGCTTTTGGTATCTAACCAGTGCCAACATCCCCAGTGAAACTTTGAGTGGAGCCAGTGTATTCCAGGTTAAATTGGGGGATCAGAACGTGGAGACTAAACAGCTTCTTAGCGCAAGCTATGAGTAAGTGCAATCGTGCTTTGGTTTTTCCTTTCTCTAGAAAATGGAAGTCCGTATGAAGGTATGAAAACTGAAGACAGCTTTAGGAAGAAAAGGATTAAAATTTAATATGTTATTTATAAACAAAAAAGGTCGTAAAGACACTGAATATGAACTAGTAGTGCAAAGAAATTAGAAAGAGGTAATATTGCTGAATTTTATCAGAGGGTATTTCAGCTATCTTTTACTGAGTAACAAACCACTCCCAAAAGTCAGTGGCTTCAAATAGCCATTGATTTTGCCTTCTAGTTCACTACTCAGAAACTATACAAAGGCTCAAGTTTTGGGGTTTTCTCTGCTTCACTTGACATCATCTGGGGTGGCAGAGGCAGGAGGATTTATTTCCACAATGACTTCTCTCACATGTGGCACCTTGGTACCCCTTGGCTTCTCTACAGTGCACCACTCTCCAGTACCTCTCTTCATGGCTTGGGCTTATGGTAGTTTCAAGCTAGTCATGTCTTTTACCTGATAATTATATTCTAAAAGAAAGAAAATGGAAACTGCTATGCTAGCAAAGGGATATACCCAGAATTAAAATAACATCATTTCTGCCAGTCTCCTAATAAAAGCAGTCACATGACCTGCACAATTTAAAGGGTATGAAGCAAGCCACCACTTTATGGAACAACAGTCATCAGTGTCACATTGCTGAATACACCTGGGAGGGAGATGTAGTTGCAGTCATCTTCAGAAAATAAAATCTGTCATAATTGTTATGTGGAACATTCATTGTTTATTGATCATTTATGTGCCAGATCTTGTGGTAGGGGTTTAGATGCAAAACTGTAGGAAGTTAGCAACTTATTTAAAAGAAGTATTATATGTTTGTGCTGATAAAATTTGAAACTGAACAACTGGGTCAAGTCTGGAGACATAATTTAATATGTCTCATTAATTTTTAAAGAGGATACCATTAGTATATTGCCAAAGTTATACAAATTTGCTTTAAAATAACATATTCCAAAAATAACCTAAGAAAGAAAATGTTTTGTTTCACTAAGGTAAAAGAGAATTATATTCTCATTTGTTTTATTTTTCTTAAAAGAAATATTTTTTAATATTTACTTATTTTTTTTTAGTTGTAGTTGGACACAATACTTTTATTTTATTTATTGTATGTGGTGCTGAGGATCGAACCCAGGGCTTTGCGTGTGCTAGGCGAGCACTCTACCACTGAGCCACAACCCCAGCCCAAAAGAAGTATGTTTTAAAAAAAAAAAAACTTGCTTTATTTATAATTACTAAAAATATTTTATATATTTAAATACTTATTTCATGTAAATTTTTATCTCTTTTTTTTTTTATTTCTTTAGTTACAGGTGGACACAATGTCTTTTTTTTTACTTTATGTTGTGCTGAGGATTGAACCCAGTGCCTCACACATGCTTGGCAAGCGCTGTACCTCTGAGCCACAACCCCAGCCCTGATTATCTCTTTTTAAAGACATTTTTATAATTAAAGATCACTATCAATACTAAATCTTGTCTCTTCTGCTATTTTAAAGATTGATTTAATGTCTCTAAGTAAATTCCACTGCTTATTACTAAATTGGTAACAGTTATTTGAAGAACAGCTTTTCCTGTTTGCTAGATCTTATGTTTAAAATGCTATTTGCCTCACCAGAATCCAGTATATTTCTGCTTATATTAGACAGGATTTAACTAGCATTTAGTAACAGAATTATATCCAGGTTTCTTTCAGGGGCTAGCAGATGTTGAACATCAAAAATATTCATTTCAGTTGAGAATATACTGCAATTTGGCCAGTATATTTTTATGATTGAATTGGCAGATTAAACTTTTTGTTTTGATTTTTGATTTACCACTATTAAATTAGCTTACTGTTAAAAACTGCCTTTAGTACACACTTGCAATTTATATATTATCCAAGAAATATTTGGACTGATGCAAGGTTGACATTTGTAATGTTTTTCTTAGATTTCAGAGGGAGTTTACACAAGGAGTAAAGCCTGACTGGACCATTGCACGGATTGAACACTCAAAGTTACTAGAATAATCTTTCTTGGAAAAAATCAGCTTATGGAYTTTTAGCAACTGCTATAAAGAACTAAGGAAGAAAAAATTTGGATCTGATCTTCACTTAATCAAGTGTGTGGATTACTTTTATATTATTTTGAAATACTCCTTGCAGTATATTGACATGATACAATAAAGCATTTTCCACAGATTGTTATCACCTTCTTCAAAAGAGGTCAAAGTGAAAAAAATCACAACACATTATTAGTGTCATATTTAATATCATTTCTGACTCTACATCTCTACAAACTAATATACATAAGTTACTAAAAACAAACTATTTAGCAATTTCTAGATTAAGAGTCCTTAAATAAGCTATTATGGCTAACACATTTATACCATAATCCAACAGTATGTAAAATTTATTTTTTAAAAGCACTGATAGTATTTGTTACTTTCTGGTCTCTAGCTAGGTAGGAAGGATGGATGGATTTATAGCAAATTGTCCTTTCCAGAACTGAAGTAGGGAACTTGAAGCATACCAAGGCACTTTGAGGAAAAAAAGAAAAAATAGAACAATGCCTCAGCCACCTGTGGTTGGTCTAGCATTCTTGTATTTGGAGTCCTGGAAGTTGGAGTAGGGAGACAAAAATGACTGAAATTTTCCCTAATTGATAAAAACTATAAGCCCAGAGTCAAGAAATTCAACAAGCAAACTAAGACTTAAAACAAAGAAACCTCATCAAGTACATCAAAATGAAATTATTGAAAGCAAGCAAAACAAAATTGTAAAAGCAGATGGAAAGGCGGGGGAAAAAGACATTTCATACAGAGGAATCAAGATAAGAATGTCTACATATTCCTGCAAGTGAGAGAGACCTCCATGTAATAAGTGCTGAGAGAAAAACAAAAACCCCTGCTGTCCCAGAATTCTTTGTTTAGCAAAAATATTCTTCACAATTAAAGATAAGATTTTTCAGAGAGAAAACGTGAGAGAATTTGTTAGCAATAGATACATTCTGTAAGAATTCTTAAGGACCCATGGACAATATGGAGTTCAGAAATTGACCTGTGCGTATATGGACAATTGGTTTTTGATAAAAATGCCAAAGTAATTCAATAAACAAAAGATGGTCTTTTCAACAAACAGAATTACCTCAATTCTTGCCCCATTTTGTACACAATTTTAGTGTAAAACTAGATTTCAAATGAATCATAGACCTAAACAAAAGCCCAAACTAGAAATTCTAAAAAGAAGGAGAAATTCTTTGCTCTCTTGGAATAGGCGAAATTTCTTAGATCATAACATAAACCATGAAAGAAATTTTCAAAATGAAATTTATTTAAATTAAAACTGCTCTTTGAAAGACACTCGTTCAAGAATCAAAAAGCAATTCACAGATTAGGAGAAACTTTCTAATATATACATCTGACCAAGGACGTATCCAGAATGTATGAATAATGCTTAGAGCTCAATGATGAAAAATCAAGTAGCCCAATAAATATTGGGCAAAAGATTTGAATACATTTTTCCACCACTGCAGAACTGGTGATTGAACCCAGGGGTGCTTCACCACTGAGCTACATTCCAGCCCTTTCTATTTTATTTTGGTACAGGGTCCTGCAACATTGCCTAGGCTGGCCTGGTACTTGGAATCCTGCCTCAGACTCCTGAGTAGCTAAAGACATGTGCCACCATGCCCGGCTTTGTATAGAGTCTTTGTAAAAGATACTCAAGTTGACAAGAATGCTAAACATCCTTAGACATTAGGAAAGCAAAACACAAGAAACTGCTATAAATCCACCAAAAAGGCATAAATTGCTTGCATTAATCTTTTTTTCTGTTTCCTATAACATAACCACAGACCAGGTGAATTATTAAGAAAAGAGGTTTATTTTGGTTTGGTTCTGGAGGTCCAAGGTAGAGGAGCTGCATTCGATGATAGTTTTCTTGTAGGACCTCACTTGGCTAGGTATAGGAAACACCCATGTGCCTGTCCCCTCCCCCCCCTGCTCTCTCGCTTTGTATTATTATTATTATTATTATTATTATTATTAGGTACTAGAAATCAAGCCCAGGGGTACTATATTGCTGAGCTACATTTACAGCCATGCCCCCAGCTTTTAAATTTTTTTTTTTTATTTTGAGGCAGGCTCTCACAAAGTTGCTGAGGCTGGCTTTAAACTTGTAACCTTCCTGCCTCAGCCTAACAAGCCACTGGGATTACAGACATGTGCAACTGCACCCAGCCTGTCCTATCTCCTGATAAAACCACTTGAATTCAGTCATGGTAGTTAATACCCTATGACCTTATGCAAGACCCCATCTCCAAATACAGTAGATTAAGTCCACCCTCTTAATACCCCACAATGGGGATTAGATTTCAACACATGAAGCACCAGGACACATTCAAACCACATACTAATCATTGCTACTGCCAATACCAAGTATTGGTGATGACATGGAGCACCTGGAATTCCTCACATATTGCTGGTAGGAATGCAAAGTGGTGCAGCCACTTTGGAAGATAGTTTGGCAGTTTCTTATAAAGTTAAATATACATTTATCATTGGATCCAGCAATTCTATTCCCAGATATTTACCCAAAAGAAATGAAAACATTACACACACATAAAAACGTATATGAATGTTTATAGCAGCTTTTTTCTTAATGATTCCAAACTGGAAAGACCCCAAATCTTCAGTAGATGAAAGGATATACAAGTGAGTGCAGGAAGCCAGACATAAAAGAGTACATRTTATACTTGTTGCGTAATTTTATTCCTGTGAAGTTTTAGAAAAGGTAAAACTAGTTTGTATGACAAATAATTGCCTAGGGTTGAGGCTGGGTGGGAGAGATGGTTGTGAGAYAGATCAGTTTGATTTGCTAATGTGTACAAGAGAGATTTTGGGGGGTGATGGTAATTGCATGTATCTTGATTGTAGAGTGGTTACATGGCTCTATACAGTTGTGACTCATCAAACTGTGGACTTAAAGTGGGAGCATTCTGATATGTTAATCATTTTATGTGTTTTATGCAAATTATTCCTAAATAAAATGTACAGCGAGAAAAATAAGTTGTAGGAAAATAAGCTGAAATGTTTTATTTTTATGAAGTATAAAAAGCTAATCTGGATTCCATCTAATCTTAGGCCTAATCTTCATATGATTTCAATTAATCTTAGATGAAAGATATCTTAAATGAAGTAGATAATAGATAAGGTGCATATTACTAAACAAGTGCAACCTATTATTACATGACATCAATTTGATTATACATTTCTAATTCAGAGATTTAAAAATGGATGAGGAATGTGTGATTTATAATCAATGTACATGTTTGTTTGTAAATTATATTTCTGCTGGGGGTGGGTGAATGTCTAATGACCAGATAGATGATGGTCTTTGTATGTGGTTTCTTAGTAAACGAAAGCAGTCTTTGGGATCAATTCCAGGTTTGAACAAAAATATGAGATATTCTTGGGCAAGAAAGCAGGGAAATGATCAAAGATAACAAAAATAATGTTGAAAGGACACAGTGGCCAACTTGAAAGGGCTTCCATTGGGCAAGGACAGCCAATGTGAACATCAGTAAGAATAATGGCTCTATGGGCTGAAATACATCACATGTTTTGAAAAGCCGTTAGTTCCGAATGCAATTCCGAACAAAAACGTTTTGGGATACCTTTGGAAGTCATTAGGGCACTAACTCATTTCATTATTATAAAAATTGATAAGGATTAAAAGTCAAGCATTCATCATGTCTTGCATGTACAAAATTATTCCAGTTATTTCCTGTTATGTAGCAAAATTTAGTAGATGGCAATCATTTTACTCATGAATTGGAAATTTGGGCAGAGTTTGATTTGGCAATTTTCCTTCTTTCTTTCTTTTTTTTTTTTTTTTGCTTCCAGTTACACTGAACTAGGGCTATTTATGGTTCAATTTGATCATTTTGAGGATTTTGTTAAGCTTTGCTTGGGTCTACTTATAGTAGCTTTTAATCTATGTAATAGAGTTCTGTTCTATTTTAAAGAGTAGCATGTTCATAACTGTAACTGATAGTGTATCAAATGAATAAAATTCATGAATTTGTAGTGATTTTTAAGAAAAATAAAGGTTTGGGGCTCTGTTTTATAGAAGAATGCCAATAGAAGGTGATAAAGAAAGAATCATGATTTTGCAAACTATAATGTAACAATGATCCATGCAAGGATCGTCGTGTGTATTAATTTCTTGTTGTTGATGTAACAAGCTACCACAAAGTGGTGTACCATAACATTGATTTATTATTTTTCAGTTCTGGAGACCAGAAGTCCAAAATGGGTCAAATAGGACAAGACTCTCTGCTGGCTAGAGGTAACTCAGATTAATTCCCCAAATTATAGGATTTCTGGGAACTGTTCAGCTCACAACCCTTGATCACTTTTTGCTTGACTTAGAGTCTCATCATATACCTCAGTTTAATTATAACTAAATGTTATAATATGATGATAAGGATAACTAAATGTTCTCATTATCATCATCTTAAACTATGGGACAATTGTGTGTTTCTAAAAAATAAAGACATTATCTATAAATTCATAAGAAGCTGTTATTAATGTATTACATAATGTGATCTAATTTTTAAACTATATTTAAAGTTCCACTGATTGTCTTTAAAATGATTGTTAAGTATCAATGTCCATTTTAAGTTTACATATTGCATTTGGTTATTATGTCTTTTCCATCCTTTTAAAAAATTTAGAATGTCTCCCATCCTTTTTTATGACATTGCAATTTTGAAGAGTCTAGAGTAGTAGACATACAGTAAGTTTCATTTCCTGAATGTGTTTGATTATTTTATTGTGGCATCATTTCTTTATGCTGGAAGTTAGAGCTAAAGCTTATTTAAATCCAGATTAAATTTTTTTTGGTAAGATTATTTTATAAGTTATTTGTGTACTTTAAATTATATAACATTAGTTGGTATATAATTTCTCATTGGCCCATGGTTTAAGATGATGATAATGAGAACACTTAATTATAAAAGTCATTAAT